TGAGCTTAGGGTTTAAGGTGCATACAGGGTTTAAAAATCAGCAGTTCTTTGGTGATTCTTATACCACTGCGAGACGTAAATATCTTTCGCAGCAGCACCTGCATTGAGAGCAGTCTGCAAAACTAGTCGTCAGATGCATAGGTCCAATGACACGGGTCCATTCAGGGAGGCGGGCTCTCTGAAGAGTCCATCCTTGGCGACTGAAGCATCAGACGCATCTCAGGCTTCTTAAGCGTCTCAGGCGTTTGCAGCGCTGCACGCGTTTCAAGCGTCTCAAGCGCCTCAGGCATCTCAAGCGCCTCAAGCGCCCGAAGCGTCTCAAGCGCCTCAAACGTCTCAAGCGTTTCAATCGTCTCACACCTATCAACGTCTCATGCAAGCGCTTCCAGCGTCCCAAGCGTCTTTACAAATCGTCTCCGGCGTCTGAACTATACAGCCTTCCGCAGCTCCGGCGTAAGAGGTTGCATCAAAGATCTCAACATCTCAAGCGTCTCAGGCGTCTCAAGCGTCTCAGCGGCAACGTCTAAGAGGCTTTGAGGCTTTGAGGCTTCAGGGCGCCTGAGAGGCTTTGAGACTTTCAGGCTTCCAACCTTTCCGCCCCCTACTCCCCATACCCTGCGATGCTCAAACGGGGGCTGTATGTACTCGGCAACTGCTTAAATTTGTACGAGCTTGGGACAAGCTCACGGGGCCGCTGTATGTGCTCGAGGCTACTACATGACACCCGGAGCAGAAATCAGCGAAACCCCAGGATAGAGCACGGAAGCCGCAGTCTAATAGGCCTGTGAAAAACAACCGGCAAAAACCGTCCACAAAGTGGAGCGTCCTGCTCACAAAATTAATCCGCATATGTGTGCCTTCAGCCTGGCCCCAGTATCAAAATGATTTCACAGAGGCACTATGCCACGGGTACTGGACGAAAGGCCACAGGCTCTGCAGGGGCAGAAACCCCATTGCAGGTTTCTGTAAGACAAGTATTTAGGGAAAAGGAGTGTGCAATCCTATGTACGCAAAGTTTTTAAGAAGACGCAGCTACAAACTATTTAACGATGTGCTCCAATATATTCCTCACTGAGTCGGATGAGGTGAACTACGAGCAAAACTCCACGCAGCAGAGGTTCAAACATCACTGCGCCACTCCACTAACCCGTGATTACCAGGAGCCTATTCCTCTAAGGATTGGAAGAGGCAAACTGCAGGGCTAATCCCACACAGTCACAACGCTGTGCCCATGTACACTAGCAGGTGCTCCGTCAGGCAACCCTAGCTGATTTCGCTTCTCCGAGAGGACTCGTGCCCCACAAGGGTCTCGACGGTCATCTTACCATCTGTCCAAGGATCGAGGACGCCATCTTCCAGAGTCCTTCAAGCCTCCAGTCAGGGTGACAGTGAACCGCGCTCCCAAGTGCATAACCTCCATCTGCAATCTGCACAGGTCCACATGGCTCCCACGAAACAACCACCACCGTTTGCAGTTCGCTGTCTTTCAGCGGTCCCCTTAGCGCCTGCAACAAAAGTCAAGAAGCCCTCTCTTGGTTGCGTGTTCTGCTGCCGTTGCTGTGAACGGTCCGCAAACCCTCCTGGCCTCGGCGGCGACGTCCATGGGGAAGCTTCTCCGTGACACCGTTGCGAATTCATGCGCAGTAGCCCATCTTAAGGAGGACCTCCAACTCCATACCGTCGTATGGCTTCCTGGATGTACATGATGTACACATACACGTACAGATGAAGATACAGATACAGATACACGTTTAGTCGTAGACTTAGACGTAGACCTATACCTACACATACACGTACATCTACATAGTATCTACATCTACATTTTCATCGACATCTGTATTTACATCCGCATCTACATCTACATGTACATACGCATGTGCACGTGCATGTGCATGTGTGTGGGCATGTGCATGTACATGTACATAAGCATATACATATGCATATCCATTTCATATGCATATGCATATGCACATGCATATGCATATACACATACATCCACATATGCATATACATGTACGCCTACATATACATATACCATTACATCCACATCCCTATCTACATCTGCATGTACATCTACATGTCCATGTGCATGTACATGTGCATGCATATGTGTGTACACATAAATTAGAGATACGTGTACATATACATGTACTTATGCTTATGCATATGCATACACATAAAACGCATACGTACATACATTCATACCTACATACAGTTATATATATATATGGACACACCCCCCCCATGACCTACCTCGGCCTCTTTTCCATTGTAAATACCGTCAAAACCTTCTCTTGGCAGGGATTCGCATTTGGCATACGATTCGTGTTTTGCGTAATTTTCGGGGATGATACCTTCTCTATCATGGCTGATGTGAAGTCATGTCTCTTTACAACGTCGTGCCTACTCATGTCCGCTTTCAAATTCATATGCCTGTATTCATAAGCAAGAAACATTAAAAGAAACCATACGATACGACGGCGGAAACCAAAAAACCAAAAATCCAAAAATCCAAAGCCTTTCTGAGGGGCCCGAAACTTTTGGATTTTTTGGTTTTCCTAGGTCTTTTTTGGTTTTTTGGGCTTTGCCTTGGCGAAACCATGGCTTTTTTTGGATTTTCGGTGGAAAACCAAAAAAACACAAGGTTTTTTTGGTTTTTCTGCTGTGTCTCTCGTGAAAAACCAAAAAACACCTGTGTTTTTTTGGATTTCTGCTGGAAAACCAAAAAAAACCTTGGATTTTTTTGGATTTCTGCTGGAAAACCAAAAAAACCTTGGATTTTTTTGGTTTTCTGTTGGAAAACCAAAAAAACCCTAGGAAAACCAAAAAATCCAAAAGTTTCGACCCCCCTGACAAAGGTTTTGGATTTTTGGTTTTTTGGTTTTTTGGATTTTTGGTTCTCGGAGCCTTAGAGCCAATACAGCGCGCAGCATGCTTGATCGGAAATGGTTTCGTTGTTTACGCGCAGTAGTCTTCAGATGTGCATTAGGCATTAGTGTTAGTATTAGTATCTGCGTTCTAGCGTGTTGATTCGTGTTACTGTTAGTGTTGGTGTCAGTGTCAATGTCAATTCCAATGTCAGCGTTAGTATTAGTCTGAATATAAGTCTATACAATAGGTGTACTAATGGTAGTGTTAATGTCTAGTGTGAGTTTTAGTATTCGTATTAGTCTTGGTCTTAGTCTCTGCCTTATTCTTAGTGTTAATATTAACCAGTGTATAGTCTCATAGTCTATGGTAACATTGGAATAGTAGTATACGAGTATATTATTTATTGGTATGTGAAAATACAGATTCTTTGGTACATTGATGTGTCTGTTTTTTGTATTTGGTTTGAACGTGATTATTAGTATTCGTAGGAGCATTAATATTGGTATCAATAGCAGTATCGCTGTTCATACTATGCATAATCGTATTATCTGGAGTATCAAGTGGTAATACTGCTATTCATGTTAGTGTAGGTTTTTTAATGTGAATATAAATACTGAGAATAATTAATAAGACTATGCGCATTAATCTGCGGAGGAACTGTATCACTTATGTGCATATTAGTATTAATGTTAGCATTTGCGTGTATATTGGTAACAAATAAAAAATAAAATTACTATCAATATGGGTATGTTTTGTAATTACTATCAATATGGGTATGTTTTTTAATATTCGTAGGAACACTAGTATTCATATTAGTATCGGTATTACTGAAAGTACCCGTCTTCGTAAAAGTATTTGTAATCATACTAATTCATATCAGTACGAGTATTAAGATGAATTATGATGCGCATATGAATACTTTCGAAGGAAATGCTGACCTTAATACGAATACCCATATTAATGTCCTATTATGTATAATCGCAGTAGCCTGAGTATTGGTATGAATATTCGGACAAGTATTAGTATTCCAAACAACTAGTACTATTAGTATTCATATTGAGAACAGTTAATAAGAATATGCGTATTAGTATCCCCAGGAGTGTTAATATTCCCATCAGCACTACTATTCGAATTAGTAGTGCAATTTTTAATACTAGTATTAACCATTAAGCCTATTATGTTATGAACAGTAATATCCTTATTCGTAGGAATAGAAATCTTAGTATCAGTATTAGTATTCGCACTAGTAATAGCTATTATACACATTGGCGCATGAGTAACCTAAGAGCTTCACACAGAATAAACATGTGTGCACATGTAACCCTCATTACGATCCTAGGTAGGATGCACACATCGTTCTGTTTTGGTCCCGTCTTTGGGTTATGCCTATGAGTACATGAACAAAATTAAAAACAGACAATGACAAACACAAAGTTACCCGGCGCATCTAACGATCTTACGTAGGATGTAGACACTGTTCTGTCTTGGTCCTGTCTTCGGGTTATGCCTATGGTCATTATATGACCAGAGTTATGAATATCCGGAACATTTAGGCAGTATCCTATTAAACAATTGCAGGCATTGAAGCTTGCCCAAATCCGCCAACGGCGATGTCGCGCCGTCGTAGGTCATTACAGTGTATTCAGCTATTGATTATACACGATATACGTTTCCATTGTTTATGTATGAGTGTATTTTATCCTAATGGTTTCCTCAAATCCTTACATGTTCTACTACCCATTGCTAGCCGAAGCACCTCGCGGTAGGTCTTGGGGGGGGGGTGTGAGCATATATATATATATATATATACATACATACATACATACATACATACATTACATATATGGCGTGCATCTTCGCATCTATACAGCCTTTGTAAACAGCTCCTGGTCTTTGAGGGGCTCGGAGGTTTGTGAGTGCATTGGGCCACTTGCGGAGTTCGACTTTGGGATTCAAACTTGGGGGGTTTCGCGACATTAAGCGTTTTAGGGTTTAGGGGTTAGGGTTTAGGGTTCAGGGTTTAGGGCCGCTAAAGTTTAGGAGTTTAGGGTTTAGGGTTTGGGGTTTTTTGGGTTGATACTTCAGGGTTGATACTTCAGAGATAGATGGTGAGAGGCGTAGGCTTTGAGATGCAGAGTTCAGTGCAGGCACAGCAGGAGAACATTGTTCTCGATACCGTGGATAATGCAGATGGCTTGGAGCAGCTTGTGGTCGTTTGTGTTGGCTTGGATGCTCCTATTCAGCGCCATCTGGAAGACTTACAGACACGGTCACGGCTGTATAGAGGTCTAACGCGGGCGCAACTCTTGGCCATCGTGGTCAATGAAAAGGTGCTGGGAGGTTGGCTGGAATTTTTAGGCATGGTGACATTCTCTGAATCCTCTGATGAAGCACTTGCAGAGAAGGAGTCTGTCCAAAGTATCCAAAAGGCAGCTGCCAAAGTCCATCAAGAAGCCTTGCAGACTCAGACCGTGGAAGAGAGCCATGCAGAGACCCATGATGCTGGCGCAGAGGGCGACGACAACGATTTTCTTGATGAGTTTCTGGACAAGCCGATGCCAGCTACCTCGACTGCCTTTGGGATGCATTCAACAGGTCACGACGGTTTTTCGGGCGTTTAGGGGGGTTTAAGGTTTAGGGGTTTTTAGGGGCTTTTCGGGGGGTTTAGAGTTTAGGGGTTTTAAGGGGCTTCTTGGGGGGGTTTAGGGGGTTGTTCCCCAACAGTGACGCTCGATAGCTGAGTGGCTCAAAAGAGCCCCGTCACCAATGGGCATCTTGCTCATGGAGAGCTTTCATGTTTGGCCAAGCCGGAAAGTCCCAACCCTAAACCCTTAAACCCTAAACCCTAAACCTCTCCGTGAAAACCCAGGTTTGGGACACCAGCGGCAACACCATGTCACAGCCGACGGCTTTGCTCTTCAACCCGTTTTCCTCCGCGGATGAGGCCAACCCGTGCACAATTTGGGTCCTACATGACTTACCATAGGGGGGGGAGTTTTTTGTCTCCCAAAACCCTATTTCTGATTCTTTTTACTAAGGCCCCCATCATTACGTCCAGTCTACCCTGACCAGCCTGATCTCGAGGATAGTCAGACTGGACTTTAGCATGGCCTTCGTCTGCACAGCTGACAACCCAGACCCCCGGGAGGATCCAAAAAGAATGGGGGTTCCTACAAGGTACCCTTAGTAGTATAGGGCCCCAAATTAGGGGATCTGCTTTCTAGATCCTCCCGGGGGTCTGCGAACTAACAACATTAATAAGGGTTTTGGGTTTTTCTGTTTTCGTTCGGGCTCCAAGGTGGTTGGGAATGAGTCGGCTCGAAGCCTAAAATCCGTGTGTCTGCAAACGCTCCACTCCCTGCCGCAGGTTCCGATTGCCATGTTCTCTATGCGATGGAATGAAAGAAACAAAGGTACCGAAAGGCTTTTTCGAGATGTGGCCGAGCTGCTGCGTGGACGTTGTATAAGAATTCTCGCGGTAGATGCACAGGCCCCTGACTTCGGTGCGGTGACCCTCAGATATTTGCACGTGCTGAAGGCGAAAAGAGGCGTGATGCTCGCCGTCTGCACAGCGGACTACGGAGAGATGACCACCGATCCTTTCTCCACCAACATCCAGCTGACTTATGCCCTCGACCATCACATAGAGATCCTACCGCTGAAGGTCGAAGAGATCTACCCGCCCCAGCCGCCCTCTGGCCCGGACCACCCTGTCGACAAACATCGACTCGGCGAACTCCTCATCTGGACGGCGATGCCGCCAGACAAGTTCTACCTCGACTGCTGTCTCAAGACGAAGGATTGCACTGAGCACGCTCACTCTGGCTGGACTCTAGACACGCCCCAAACCTTTCTAGTAGCTGCCGATCTGGCGTCTGAGATTTTCGGCCCCTAAACCCTAGACCCCGAGCCCTAAACCCGAACCCTAAACCCTAGACCCTAAACCCTGAGCCCTAAACCCTAAAGACGGCGGAGGACCAAATCGCGGATGAAATTGAAGCGGCTCTGAGGGACAGAAAGGCCGAGGCTCGCAACATCTTTCCTCGCCTGAGAGGTTCAGGGCTCTACTGTTTAATATAGGGGCTTAGATAATTACCTATACTATTTTGGAGGGCTCGAGAATACTCCCGAGTGGAGATCGCCGAAGCCCCAGTGTAGGATCCTACACGTCCGCCATAGCAACGGCACCGGTGGCTAGCCCCTCGTGGCATCGAGCTGCCCGTTTACAGCGTTCGCGAGCACGACGTCGCGTACGGCGAGGTCAATTCCTGCACCAGCCGCCACCACGGAGAGACTTAGAACTACTACAGAAGCATCATACCCGGCCCAGGTATCGGTCAGCAATGGGCCGCTCGTGGGAGGATCGCAAGAAAGGCGGAGGAAAACCACCTGGATCCGGTGGGTCACGTTGGGGATATTGGCATGGAGCCTACAGCCCCAACTACCGTGGACGAGGCCAGGGCCAAGACTCCTGGCAGGACGAAGAGACCCGGCCCCAGCCGGCCAGTTTCCCAGCCTACGATTCCAAAGACCGTGCAGCTGCTTTTCGCAAGGAGCAGCAAGCCAAGACCTGGAAGACCGGCGAGGACAGTTTGATGCGACAAGACGATCCACAAGAGACGATGACCAACGACCTCCAGGATCACATCAATGTGACCAGACGTTCCGAACAGCGAGTAAGGAACCTCATGAATGCCAAAGAAAAGAAGGAGCGGCTCTGGCTCAAGTACCAGGAGGAGATGAAACAGACGCTGCAACGGGAATCGCAGCGGCATGCCAAGGCCATGGAACACTTCGACAAGGACCTTGCCGCCGCGGTCTCAGCAAGAGAGGAAGCGCGCAGCAATCTGCGGCTCTTTTTCCAGCGGGGTGGAGAGATACCACCCATGGACGACCCCCCCGGCGAGGATTGGTCTGCAACAATGGAGGCCTGGCGGAAGGAGACACAAGAGCAAGAGACTCCTCAAGCAGTACTCCAGCGGGCCTTTCAAAGTCGACCACCCACGGCAACTGGTCTGGGACATCCAGCTTTGGGAAGCTTGATGACACCAGAGGCGGCTGCACGTTTGCTGGAGGCGACGATCCTCAGCCAGGGCTTGGGTCATGGAGGGAGACACCCCCTCGCAGCGCCCTCCACACATGGCCCTGGCATGGATACTACGGCTGCTGTCGCACGCACAGCCGAGGAGTCGGACAACAGAGAGAGGAGCCATCCAGTGGCGCCCTATGTCTCCTCTCCTTCACATCCCAGAGTCGAACCGCCTCCTACCAGCAGCCCGACCTCGGCGCCGAAGGCCAGCCCGGCAACAAGGACTCGACCCCGCCAACCTATCAAGGGGGCACCTTTGCAGCCCGTGCATACTCAACAGACCAATACTTTGTCGACCAAGCTGGAGGCCAAGCGCCAAGCACTTGCTGCAGAGCAGGCCGCTACTCCCTCGGGTACTCTTGCCAATCCCGAACACCAGGATGGTACGACCAGACCGGCTGTGCAATCTCTGGTGGACGACGACGACGAAGACCTCAAGGAGACCCACACCACCGACACGGGCAGAGACGGCCACCTCGATGGTCTCGGCTAGATGCAGTGAGCAGTGCTTTGTGTTTCAGGGTGGCATGCTATTACTCCCTGCCAGACGGTACCAGTTCGCTTTCGGTCGGGGACCGCAAAGCGGACTGGCGGCCCGAAGGTGGGATCCCAGGCCACCGTGAGACCCTAGCGACTGCACATGAGGTCAATGAGAGCTGTACAGTGCCTTTTAACTGGCATTTGTACAGTTGTACGAAGGGTCCCGTACCTGTACATCTATTTCCTGTGAGAGATGCTTCACCTTGGGTCCTCTTTTTCCCTTTTCGTTTCTGCACTCATGGCACTCCGGGGAAGACTTCCCTTCTTGGGATGCTCTCTCCTCGGTGTCTGCCCATGTCTTCCTCGCGAGGACCGGACATGCATTGGTCTTTTGCATTTTCCGGGACTCCCCCGCCACTTCTGCAGCCTAATCTCCTTTTCTGCCTTGCCGCTCCGACAGCAGCGACTGCAGCAGCAGGTGTGCACTGCGTACCGAAGAAACGTATCGGTGGTTCAGGGACGTTCACCAGTGCACATACTGCCTTTCTTCACCATGCCCCCTCCGTAGGGTTTAGGCCCACCCCCTTCGTTAGTTGGCTTCAGGTTCATCAGGGTGATTCGGATAGTGTGCCCTTTCCCTCTTTAGGGAACGTGCAACCACTCAGCGCACCAAATACAGCGGCCCTGTCCAACTTGATTATGTCAACATGGAGCCTTGGATGGCTCTTCCGCTCGGTTGTTCCTCTAGCGCGCACAGCATGTGCAGGCATAGGCTTCTTGTTGGTGTGTTTGCTCGTGCCTTACCTGCCAAGCCGCCGCCTGGTTCGGCTACGATTAATCCCGCGTGGCGCTCGAGAAGCCTTCATTCCCTGTCTCCGCCCGTTGGCACACGTTGCGAAGCCATCACATAAGGTTCTCCCGTGGGACAGACCTACACAGGTCACCAAACTTGGATGGCAGAGGCAGCCTCTCCGCAGGCCCTTTAGTGCCCAGGCTTGGTTAAGGGTGCTCCTCCTCCTATGCATACCACAGCAGATCTTTTGTGTACCGCCGGAGGTCCGAGAAACTCTCCGTCTGATTCAACATGTTGTGGACCACACTCCGGAGCCTTTGCCTTCTGGAGTACAACCCTCAACGTATGAGCATGCCGAGGAGGTTCAGACAATACCTCTACCCCTGCTGCAGTCCATGACGATGCCTACATCCGAGGAGCACTGGTTGGGTGTTACAGTTCATGCGTCACACTACTGCTCCTATAGCTTTGGTGTTCGACACTCGCCACAACAAGGTCAAGTGGCATTGCTCTGCCAGGTGCACAGGCATGCAAGCCTTCGCAGGCCCACCCACCCGAAATTGTCCTTTGTCAGCCCTCCGCGGCTCACGGGGTTTGTGGATTTCATTTCATATCCGGACTGTTTGGAGGCAATGGATCTTGTGCCAGTCATCATTGACCTCACGCATGTAGGTGGTCAATACTTTGCTTACCACATGCCCAGGCACTGGGATGCAGCCACATTACTTGCGAAGTTTCAAACAGAGCTTGATGTGGACCCGGACCAGGTGAACGTCCTAGTAGGTCCCACCTACCGACACTGCCCTGCAACAGAGCTTCTCAGCCTTTGCGCAGGACAGGCAGTTTTGGTCCTCCGGGCCACGATACAGCCACCGCCTCCGTTTACGGGTTATGGTTGCATTGGCCAGTTGGAGACACGTGGTGCCCTGTCAGACCTCCCTGTGTCTCGCAATCACAGCAATACTGCGGTTTGGTTCCGGCAGCAAATGCATGTCCTTAACCCTAACTTATTTCCAGGGCAGGACGTTACTGCAGTTCTCGCCACAAGATACCGTACCTCCGAGTCCTGCCTCCACGTCACCAGTACACAATACATGCCCGATCTTTCGGTCTTGGGCAGCCCATGCGCTGCCATATGTGTCGTCGAGGAGACAGCAACGGAAGGCTTGTCTCACCCAGGTGCCGACCCCACAGACCCCCGTCAGGCTGCCGTCCTATGTGACTTAAGACCCATGGGCCTTCCACCACAAGTAGTCCATGTTGAGGCACATGATGCGGCCTTCACTCAGGTATGGCAGGCCTTAGCACTGCCCAGCCTTCCAGGCTGGCAAATTCGTATTGGTGATCGGCCTGACAGTTGCAATCAGCATTCGGTAGGCATGCCTTATTTGTCAATTCAGGCTGTTGCTAGCAGGGACCCGACGCCCATCATTGTTCCAGGAGCCTCTGTTAACGGTTTGCATTATGGCTCCAACGAGTTGGCTCTTCAAAGGTCATCACGGCAAACTGCCATACAGAGGTTCCGGCCACACAGGCGCCCACACACACAGGTTGCTCCTGCTTCCGACTCTGATACCAGCGACAACGGGTCCCAGCACAACATGATTGAAGGTCAGGTCCTGGTTCTGACGCTAGGATACATAGGCAAGGTCTTTGACATTGAACTAAGGGCCCCTGCCACTGTTTCCGAGTGTATCGAGGCTGTACGTCGGGAGGTGCCCAGTGGCCTCTATGTTTACTTCCCCAACCTTGTTGAAGTCAAACCCCAATTATCAGACCAATGGGCCACCGTTCTTGCACTACCTTGTTGGACAGCGGAGGCCAGCATCGTTGTACTTGACTTAAGCCAGATCGACGGACGCATTTTTGCCGCCGAGTTCCCGGCCGAGGGCACTCACGCCAGCCTGTGTGCTTTGGCACGACTCCCTGCGGGAAGTGCCTTCGACATATATGCGTATGGTGCCACGATCCCTCTTCTCGAGGAGGGCATACTACCAGCAGTACCGCATGGCAGCATACAATTCGTGCCTGGCGGCGAGGCCCCAATGCACACCCCGTCTCTAGCTAGCATGCTGAGTTCAGCCGATGGCTGGGACCCAGAGGCCCACATACCCAGGGGACCTGGGGGACATCGGGGCCCCTTTCTCTGTGCAGTCCTCGAAGACGGGAACCGGTTATATCAGATAAAGCCAAGTAAAGGCCAGCACTACACCGACGACCTTGCAGCAGAGTTCGGCATTGCCCCACACTGGACCACAGCCCAGATCACCTACCCACGTGTCCATGATGCCGGTTTTTTGGGATATCGTTGTAGGGGCATAGCTCTGATCTCTGCGCTCTTTCCCAACGTGCCGGTCCCGCCCGCACGTGCCACACCGGGCAATTTTCTCATTGCTCTGGATTGCCGGGCCTTGTTTCAAGGTTGGCACCAATATCTCGTACAGGACTACATATGTTCCCGTTCCGACATCTCCAGGCGCTTTCAGGTCTTTGCACCGGCAGGATTTCAAGTCCAAATTGATGGGGTGGGTCTCTCCGATGATGGTGATAACATAGTGGTTACCAAGGGCCAAATCCTGACCGTACACTGGGTACCTCAAGAAGCAGAACCCGGCAGCGATTATGATTGTCACTCCGCAGGGCCATCATCTCAATCTGTCGGCGACCTCTCTCCAGCCTCCTCAGCAGAGGCTCGTCCACTCTATGGACAGCCCAGTCCTTCGGCCCGCGACCGCAGTCGCTCACCTTCCAGACCAGGCTTTTCGAGTCGGAGCTTGGCATGTCACCGCTCATATAAGGGGCAGTACACTGCATCTCCTCTCAAGCTTGCCTGGCCCCCATGGCTACGGCCACTTGGACCTGACAAGTTCCTGACCAGGCTACCTGCCTGTTCGGAGTCAGACTATTGTGCATACGCTCAGAACCTCGTTGAGCTCACAATACCTCAGGTACAGCACAAGTTACTCCAGGAGCCTCACTCTTCAAGGCCTTCTCTGCGGTGGGCTCTGGCCGCAGTCCGTGCAATTGCACAAGACATGGGCCAGCCCTGGCGGTATATTCCTCACGAGGATGCCGCTTTTCTGGACTTGAATGGCTCCCCAGAGACCTCTGAGGCCGATACTGATGACGTAAGATGGGTAAGCTGCCTCGTTGTCACGCCGGACTACAAGTCCGAAGCGCACACAATTGCAGTAAGGTTTCCCAGTTCTGTAGCAGACATCACTATAGCGCTGGCCATTGCTAGACAGCCTAGAATGAACCAATGGTTCCCCTCCTTGATCCCCGCCCACCCCCAGACTCTCGTGAACACAGGGGTTTGGTTGGCCTGTCCAGCTTTTCAGCCTACAGCCAATCTGGTTTGTCTAGACACTTCAGCCATAGATGGTAGAGTGTTTGCCCGCGAGGCTCCGCAGTACGCAGACATTTCCCAACTACTCGAGCTCGCACAGGTCCCTGAGACCATCCGCCCTACCGTCTGGACAGGTTGGCCATTGGCGCAATTAGATGCCACGGCCCAGGTACACATCCTATCGGGCGCTACCTTCGTCTTCATGGCCTACGGCGAGGAACCAGAAGAGGCTCATGCGCTCGATGCGCTTCTCGACTGGCCGGACTGGTGGCACGAGTCAGGCAGCGCGCATACACCAACACTTGGCAGCACCTATGGTGTTGTGCATGGGTCGCGTAATCTCCCCTTCGTTGCAGACATGCGCGTTCCTGCTACCTACAGACGCCAGCTTGCGCAATGCATTGACGTTGCGGCGTCCTGTATGCGTCTGCACCCAGCTGCTCCTAGAGTAGCAGATGCTGCCTTTCAGGGTATGGGCTGCATTACTGTTGTCGCTGTCATTGCCCCAGTTTCAGAGGGTCAACAGTCCTGTATCCTTTTGGACTTACGTCCCTTACTGCGAGGCTGGCGTAGCCTTCCTATTTCTGGTGAATGCATTTCGCTTTGCAGGCTTCTCCAGCAACAGCAGGTGCCTTTACCACCAGGTTGGCACATTCTCGTCATGGACTCAGCACCGCACCGTGACGTTGTTGAAGCCAGGCCAGGCCAGGTTTTTGTCTTGGCCCCAACATCGGATCCTATTGCCCATCCCTCCTCGGCAGCTGACTCATCATCGACGAGTCTGCCACATAACCCACCTAGCAGTGTGAGCGATGATGCTGGCTCAGCCGATGTTTTGGATTCTCTGGCAGTGCCACCGGGCCATCCTGTGCAAGTCGGTGACCACAGCAGTGAACCGGATGTTACCTCCCTGGCAGGCGACTTCAGATTGGGTCGATTTCTCATCTTTGCCGTTGATTTCGCCCCGGAAGCGCTTGAAGTTCCCGTTCCTCGGGCCGGCAGTGTACATGGGACCCTTCAGGTTTTGGCTGCCTTTCGGGACATTGACGCTAGCACCCGTGCTCCACGGCTTTTGCCCGTTAGCCATCAACACCGCCATGATGTTGGATTCCTGTTGGCCCTCCCGCTATGGGACACGTCCAGGATTGTGGTCTTGTTCCACGACCTTGTCAATGGTGGTCGTCTATACGCAGAGGCCGTACCACCACTGCCCTCTCGCACGGATCTGCTGGCATGCTCAGGTTACGAAGGTGATGAGCCCCACCTTGTTTTCATCCGAGATTCAGTCTGGCCACTCGCGAGCGCCCATACTGTAACCTTGCGCCACGGTGATCTGGTCACGGTTACTACCGTCGAACAAGGCCCCGGACGCGTGCAAACTCTGGCAGATATCCTAGCACATACTATGGTCGGTGATCCCTCACTGTCCCACTTCGTCTTGCCAGGACAGCACGATGACGTGCTTCTTCTTCTTTCAGGCAATCATCCTATGGACTTCCCTATTGACAGAGCGCGCACTGCCGCACTGCGCCATGACATAGGCCAAGCCCTCCAGGTGCATACCCCCGCCTTACGCCTCAGGCCTGCCCTGCCCGGAGTCACGAATCTGATGATACGCGGCTCCTTTCGTAGGGCGGTGTTAATTGCCACCACCAGCCCTATTCGTGTCAACCCGGCGGCAGATGGCCCGACTCCCATTGTGCTGGACTTGCGTGCCATCTACCGTGGGTGGCAATGGGATGTAGCAGTACAAGGGACGGTCGACTTCCAAGCAATAAGGGGCAGGTTTACCCATCGCTGCCCGCCTGGATTTTTTGTAGACTGCAGGTGTGCAAGTGCATCCCCTTCTACTGACGACCATGCCGTGCCAGTGCGCCCAGGTGAGGTCATTCAGGTCCTTTTCTTGCCTCGGAGCTTTGATGGGAGACAGGCCAGGCCCCTTCGTGATGGGAGCACCGCCTCAGCAAGGTATCACGGCTCCGAAGGCACCTTTCCCCCTGACACGACCAGACACTCTCCTGGCACTGGAGCAGGGTCTCAACCAGTGCCAGGACGTCCATTGCCTGGACACAACACTCAGTCTGCAGCCACATGCCATGTCACGGCGCGGAACACAGCGGTCGCCAGAACCGGTCGCCCCAGCCTGCCCGGGCACAAGCTGTTTGCACTCATCTGTGCAACCCTATGTGGAGGCAATCGTGCTATGCAGTTGCAGGGTTCCACACCCTCTCCAGCCAACTTCCCATCTTCTCAGAGGTACCCAGGTTCAGTCGATCGAGTAGCCATGTGGCCAGCGCATTGCAAGCCTCCCGTCCGTCCTACCGGACCTGCGCTGGACACCCCTGTCCTCTCGACTGACGGTGCCCCTCGGCTTTCCCAGCCGACGCGTTCTAAAGCCCACAGGCCAGTCCCTACACCTTGCCGCACAGTTGCGTCAACCCGCGCCCAGGCCTCAGCCCATGCCGATCCGATTGATCATACCTTTACCCTCGAACTTTGCACTCTCTTGCAACAGAGTGCAGCACATCCGGGGTTTCAAGGTTACTTAGAAACGGTTGCCATCATAGAGACTCTGCAAGAGCACCTTTTTGGTGAATGCCTTAGTAATACACAGGTCGGGGGCGACGCTCCAGAGGCTCTGGTGTTACAGGACCTCCTCCCTCTGACTACACACCAGTGTCAGGCGCTATCTCTCAATGCACTTCTTCCTACCCCGACGGAGGACAGCCAAGCCACACCTGACTGGTTAGATAGTGACCTCAGTTTTCTCATCGCCGATGTTCAAGTGCCTTCGGCGAAGCGCTCTCAGTTCGCCAACATCCAGTCATGGCATCTCATGCCCGACCACACTTTGCTGCAGGCCCTCGTCGTCTATACTGACGGGTCGGCACCAGGAGCGAAGCCCGAACATGGCACACTTACATGTGGCTCTTGGGCCTTCTCTGTCTGGGCGCAGATCCCACAAGGACACTGCCTGGTTGGGCACGCCATGGCCCTTACACAGGCTCCTGATAGTCCGTTCTTCGTTGGGGAAGGCAATGACATGCCTCTTACTTGCGAAACCCTAGCTCTCGTTTGGGCCCTGAGCTGGGTTTTCGAGTACGGCCCCGGGTACCAGGTTCCTATCGAGCTTCGGTATGACTGTACCTCTGCAGGAAGGGGTACGTTTGCTGAGTCAAAGGTTGCCACAGGCACGTCACACACTGGCAGTCCTGACCTGGCACACTTTGCCTGTTATATCCGTCAAGCCGCTGAACAGCGAGTGTCACTCACACACAGCCACGTGCCTGGGCACAGTGGGGAGGTCGGCAACGAGCTCTGCGATGAGTTGTCGAAATACTGCCGACGACATGGTTTGCCGCCTTCGGAGCTTTGTTTGCCTACCTGGCCCAGTGCGATCTTCCGACACCCTCTCAAGGCGTGGCTCTGGCTGGCTGGCCGGCATAGCCCGAATGTCCCGACGCTTTTCTCCTTGGAAAGTGAAGCTTACAGAATGCAGGCACACCCCCGACTTCCTGCCGGTGGCCCCCAACTGGGACAGGTCACCGCCACCGAGGTGGGTGAGCCTCTGGTCCAGGCCATCTCCTTTCTGTCCTATAATGTTCTTACCCTCATGGATCCCAGTAGGCCTGGTAAGAATGCACGTCAGGAAGGTTTAAAAATTTCAGCCAAACGTTGCCTACTTAAACGACAGCTAGAGCAACTTGGCATTTTGTTATGTGGTATACAGGAGACTCGAATCAGTTCAACAGAAGTTCTCCCTGATGCCGACTACTGGATGATCCACTCGGCTGCAAGTGCAGATGGACACCACGGCGTCGCACTCTGGATAAGCCGCAATGTGCCCTATGCAGTCTGTGGCATAAAGAAGTGGTTTTTTGCAAAAGACCATTGTACTGTCACGGGCTACTCGCCCCGCCACTTGATCGTCCAGCTCAATGCTCCCCACCTGTGCTGGACTGTTTTAGTGTGCCATGGGCCATCTGAGCCTCCCGCTGCCTCCGGCACTGCTGCTGCTTTCTGGAACATGTGCCGACGTGACCTTGCCAAAAAACCTAAGCACTCTGAGCTTATTGTTTTGGCAGACGCCAATGCCCACTTGGGGTCCAACTGCTCGGCCTCTGTGGGTAGTGTTGCACCGGAGATTGAGACAGCCTCCGGCACCGCATTCCATGAGTTCTTGGCAGAGCACGAGCTTTTCCTACCAGCCACGTTCCCGTCTGTACATGCCGGCCCTTCGCATACTTGGGTCACAGTCTCCGGCACGAGCCATCGACTGGATTACATTGCCGTGCCACAGCAGTGGCCTCTCGACAGTGTCTCTTCTACCGTGCACTATCAGTTCGAAAGTTTGCAACTTAGTGTTGACCACTATCCTGTGCAGCTGACTTGTAGTCTTACTGGACGCAGTCCCGACGCCGACTTTTCCACCTTCCGGCGCAAGGCCGTCCGGCCTGTTGCCAGTCGGCCCAATACAGGATATCTCTGCGCCTTGGCTACGTTCACCCACAGCGCGGATATGCAATGGGACGCACAGGTTGACGACCATTTTGCTGCCCTGAGCAGCGCATGGGCGGCCGCCAGTACACACCTAGATGTTGTTGACCAGCCCAGACCCCGTCAGGCGTACATACAGCAAGATACCCTTGCACTGGTGCATCAGCGGCGCCTTCTGAGGGCCCAGCTGGCTCACACACACCGAGAACTCACCAGACGATACCTACTTGTTGGTTTCGCAGGGCTACTCCATAATAGGTATGGCACAGCCTTTCACCCCCAGGCTAGCCTACAGGCCTCACAATGGATTGCGCAATCTAGGCAACAGATTGCCACCCTGACTCAACAATTGGACCGGGCTGGGGCGGATATCCGCCGCCTCATTAAGCGAGACCGCGTTGAGTACCTGCATTCCCTCGTGAAACGCGTCGCTGCCTCTGATATACGCGACCCTAAGAACCTTTTCCGGGCTGTCCGCAAGGCTTTCCCTGCGGCTTCGGCACAGCGACGTCAAACTTTCCAGCCAGTGCCTGCCATTCAGGATGCCAACGGAGAGCTCGCGGTCGATAGGGATAGTCGTCATGAAGTGTGGCGTGCGCATTTTGCGGCACTTGAGGATGGTGAGCCCATTGATGCTCAGGATTACCCGGCCCGCTTTGCCCAACAACGTAAGGTGACGGCTGTTACGCCCCCTTTCGACATTAATACCCTTGCTACACTCTCCACCATCGAGCAACTGGTGTTGGGACTTAAGAGAGGTAAAGCCTGTGGACCTGACGGCTTGACAGGAGAGTTACTGCAGCTCTCCCCTGCGGCCTCCGCACGCGTTCTAGCTCCTCTCTTTCTTAAGTCTGCCATGGGTCTACAAGAACCCTTAGAATTCCGGGGTGGTTGTCTCATACCGCTCGCGAAACAGGCGCATGCGGCACTTCAATGTAGCAAGTTCCGGGCTATACTCTTGTCTTCCGTGCCGGGCAAGCTCTACCACCGCCATATTAGGAGCTGCCTTTGCAATCATCTCCCGGCCGAAGACTTGCAAGCCGGGGCCGTTCCAGGGATAGGGACCGAGGCCATCGCCCTTGCAGCCCGGGTCTTTCAAGCCACGGCGCAAGCACGCCGACGGTCCTGGGGACTGGTTTTTTACGATGTCAAGGCTGCGTTCTATCGAGTTATCCGCCAGCTTGTCGCGCCAGCCAGCGATGACGACCGTCATATCCGTAAGTTCTTCCACGTCCTGGGAGTTCCCCCAGTGGCACTGCATGAGCTTGCGGACCACCTCTCACGACTGGCAGCGATTCCCAGAGCAGGTGCTAGCCCACATCTGACGGCAATAGCGTCAGACATTATGCAGGGGACATGGTTTAGGATAGATTCCTCTGCTGTGCTTACCCTCACGCATGTAGGGACACGACCCGGAGATAGCCTTGCTGATGTATTTTTCGCATTTGCCTTTGCGGCTTATCTCCGCGCGTCAGACGTTGCTCTTACGGAACGCGGGTTAGCCACAGCAACACCCGCTCTTTGCTCCACCCCTCCATGGGGCAAGGAACCCGTACCCTCTAGCCTAGGTGCCGGGGCCTGGGCAGATGACTTTGTGCACTTTCACGAACAGGCTGACAATGCTGGCCTGGTACCCCAACTAGTGCGGATAGTCACGGTTTATGTGGAAAGGGCGGATACCATAGGCATGCAGTTGACCTTTGCCAGGGAGAAGACTGCCGCCATGCTGCAGCTTGAGGAGGTCCCCGAGCCAGATCGCTCTCTCATACAGCATGGACCCGGAGGACCTTTCCTGATGGGGCATAGCGCGGTCTCTGGGGAACCCTTTCATCTCCCTCTGGTTGACGCATACCGTCACTTAGGGGGCATCGTAACCAGCTCGGGGACTCCGGCCCCAGAAATAGGGTTTAGGTCGGCTCAGGCCTGGATACCCGTTCGGCCCTTCCGTACCAGGCTTTTCTCGGCTGCTGGTATACCTTTAGAGATACGTCGTCACCTCCTTCGTTCTCTTGCAGTTTCCAGATTTGTATTCGGTTGCGCCGTGCTTCGCCTTCATGTCGCAATCCACTTTCGCACCTGGGCCCAGGCCTATGTCGCGTTATGGCGGGTGCTGCTGCGGCGACAGCCGCATGAAAAGACACCACACGCCTACACGGTTCTCCTACGTGCCGCAGCCCCCTCCCCTCCACTTGCCCTGGCTTTGGCCCGAGCAGCGCTGCTACGCCAGATTGTTGGCCATGGCCCGCCAACTCTGCGTCAGCTCTTGTGGAAGCAGTGGGAAGTTGAGGCTGACTCTTCCTGGCTTGGCCAGATCGTTAAGGACATCCGACACGTCGCACAGTATAATCCTGTTGCTGAGGTCCTCCTTTCCACTGGCCGTCCACTTCACGTGCTGCTTGAGAAACTGCAGGAGCAACCCACCTGGTGGACCAAAGTCCTTAAAGGGGCAGCTGCCAAATGGCACCAAGATCTGGAACACTGGGAGCAGGCCAGATCCGCGGAGACTGCCGCTTCAGGTGAAGCTGCAGACCAGATCGACGCCCCCCCGCCTGCCTTGCCCTTCTCTTGCCACCTCTGTCAAGCTGCCTTCCCTTTGCGTAAGCATTTGTGGGTACACTACGCTCGAAAGCACAATGTCATTACACCCACGAGGGCTTTGGCACATTCCGACACGTGTGTTGCCTGCCTTAGGCACTACAGCAATGTGGAACGGCTGCAGTACCACCTGAAAAGCTCGCCAGCCTGTCTGCTCCGCACCGTCTGGCTTCTTGCTCCGCTGACCCCCCAGGAGTTGGCTGATGTAGAACACCTACATAAGGCAAGGCGTAAAGCTGTCAGTCACGGCCAGTGGCAGAAGTTTTCTTGCATAACTAAGCCGCTCCAAACCCTTGGTCCTGCACAGCTGACAGCAGCAGAAAGAGTGGCAGTTGAAGGTGAAGACATCTCGCTTCTCACCCTCGCCAAGCTTTTCCATCCCGATCCAGCGTATGTTCGCTTTGTACAGGAATACGTCGATGCGAGGTCCGTAGAAGGCGAACGGACTACCGCAGGCGGCTTTTGGGATGGCAGACCTCGTTTCACCTCTGCAAGTTGAATTTACGGACGCGCCCCTCGGGGCTCCAAGGTCCTGCGAGAGATATACTATTTTGGTGGTCTTTATTATAACCATAGTATAATGGGCCCCAAAACCCTATTAAGGCCCTTACATCAGTGTTTAGTGTTTTGCAGGGGTTGTGTACTTCTGTTCTTTCATCCCCGTATTGTGTAGTCGTACTGCGAGGTTCGGTTGAGCATCATCCAGATATACTCTGATGGGGCTCCATCCAAGTTGTCCGGAACTTTTCGAGCGTCTTAGGCCCGGGAAAAGCGAGCAAGGGGCGGGTTTACGTAGGAAATCTGCTCGCCCCTCACGAGCTTAAGAAATGGGATCAAGGGGCGCAGTGGGTTAAGCAAAACGGTGCCCAACGCATTCGCCTAATGTTAATGTGGGGGAACGGGTGTTTCAGGGTTTGGGAATTAGGGCTTCGGGTTTACGGTCATCGCCTGATGAGAATTGGGACCAGTCGCCATGGCTTCATGAAGAGGTCGAGGGGGCGAGTTTGAGAACGCTGACATAGCCATCGCCATCATCTGTTATCATCTGTTGGGTGGGTGTGTGGGTGGGTGGGTGTGGTTGGACAGAAGAAATGCAATCAACCACCTTTGCTTCACAATCACGACAGATTGGGGCCATTGCCATAACCAGTACTTTCCAGCGCCTAAGGAGGGGGGATGCATTTAAGAAATGTGAGCAACCTCCATCGCCTAATGAGGGGTCCGTTTTAAGAGTTGTGGAATTGTGCGCGGTCGCCGTCGATTATCGAGGTTGCGGGAGGGGCGGGTCAGGGAAATGTGATCCACCGCCATCGGTTAACGAGGTGGCCGAGTGTTTTAGACGCGTGTTCGGGGTTTAAGAATCTGGGTCGAACAGCATTCATGCTCCGTCAGCACCTGAAACACCACAAGCTACACCTCCTAGAGAACCTCAAACCCGCAAAGCCCGAACGACAGCTCTGAGGCCTGAAACTCCACGTTCGTTAAACCCCCAAGACGTTTGACCACCGCCACCACCACCAGCACCAGCACCAGCACCAGCACCAGCACCAGCAACAGCACCAGCACCAGCACCAGCACCAGCAACAGCAACAGCAGCAGCAGCAGCAGCAGCAGCAGCAGCAGCAGCAGCAGCAGCAGCAGCAGCAGCAGCAGCAGCAGCAGCAGCAGCAGCAGCAGCAACAGCAACACGGACAGCAACAGCAACAGCAGCAGCAACAACGACAACAACAACAATAAAGTGCAACCGCGAAATCGAACATGTTTTGTCAGGAAACCACCGTAACAACCCACACGACATTGCAAAACACATATTTTTTTCATGCCGCAATTTCCCAAAACCCGAGGTTTTTAGCAGCAGCTGCCAACGACAACAACTACCACAACCAACTGCAGGAACAACAGTAATCCATAACAACAGCAACAGCAGCAACAGCATTGACAGTATTTAGCGTTTGGACTAGCAGCAAACTTCTCGAACTAGATCGTGCAATCTCTTGCATCCAAAGTGACCCGAGAGGTTCATAAGGTCCCATCTTTGCTGATCCCGAGGGACATTGCCGGCAGCATGACACAAGTACTAGCTGGTACTGTAGCAACCGATGCCATGTCCTTTGCCCCTCTCTCCACAACCTCATCCCCGAACAAAAATCGCCAAAACCCTGAGCCCTGAACCCAAGCACGTGCAGGTCGACAGACAGACAGACGTGGCTGCAACGCAGAATAGGCTGCAGGATGCGAAGATGGCGGCCACGGCGGCAAGCCGGCAACTTTGTCACAGTTGGGTAACATTTTGCATTTTTATGGGTACTTAAACCCAATAAGGAATAGAAATTTAGATTGTTGATCCTATCCCAACCATCAGCTAGGCAAAGGTTGGAGGGAAGGATGCAGAAGGCTCTGGGTTCGGGTGTCAGTGTAGGGTTTCAGGGCTGTAGGGTTAAGGGTTGTAGCTTCAGGGTAAGGGCTTCAGGGCTTCAGGGCTTCAGGGTTTAGGCTTCAGGGTTCGGAGCTTTAGGGTTCAGGGCTTGATTAGGGCTGGGAACATGGGGTGTCGGGCTGTTTGGGGGAGTGTAAGGGCACTTGGCTTTGACGAGGTTTATGCTGTACGGTCTTGGAAGGACAGTTTTAGCCAGCTGGTCCAATATAAATGAAGTAGAAAGATAGAGAGACTGAGACTCATTATTGGGAGATCCATCCCCAAAGGCAAACGAGAGCACTGACAATGACTTCATCCCAAGTAAGCCCTGCCAAAATACGGGTGGTGGTCAAAATTAGGGCGGCTTTTTGGGTACCCTAAGTACTAGGTGCCGCATTACATTAAGGACC